CAAGGCACTCGCTTCGGAACCTGTGGTAAAAGTCGTCGCATTTCCGCAGATGATGACTTGCTGATTATCAGACAATTCCTGAGGCAGTAATCTCTTCAGGTGCGAATGAAACGCGATGTTGACTGACCTTTTGGCATTAACTGCTAGTCCAAAGTTGGAACACAAGAGATGCCATCATTTGGTCGTGCTAGAATCGCGTTCTCATCGGAAGAGTTACGTGGGCAGCAAGAATAACAGGGTCATTTACTTATTCGACAAATATGTAGTATCTATATTGATTTGCATATTTAGCATTTATATTTATTACGCAGCGTCTATTACAACGCGTTAACGTGTGCAAGGCTTATTTTGCAGCTCTACAGCATGTACTTTCGAAGACCGATGCTGATGTTTTGGCGCAAGATGTTAAAATATGCAACACGCGTATTTTTCAGGAGAGTACTGCGTTTGGAAGGAAGCGAAACATTTCACTTCATAGGCAGAAATACCCTAAATGTTCACGGTTTACTAGCCAAGGTCAAAACTTCATACGAATGTGAAAATCTGTTTCCGGGAATCCCACAGCGTTCTCGCAATATCCATTTGCTTCTAGGGCCCAGGAGATCGTTTAGGCAGGCAACAGACCCATGGAGTCATAGCACCTGTGGTTCGTACATGCAAAATATCTTCACCATGTTCAAATAAGTGTTCGAACAAAACGTGTTTGATTACCAACTGCCGATACACATCTATCCGTGTTTCGAATGAACACAAATGAAACGGTCATGTAACTTCGAGTTTATTCCGGTAAAAGCCAGATTGCCAGGTTTTGATGCGGTCGGTCACAAAACATATTCGACTCGCTTTACCTGGTTCAGGCAGTGCTACACGCACAATCTGCCACATAACTGCGGAAACTGCGCTTGTGCAGAGGAGCTAACGGTGCATTGCCGATGTCTTTCTGCACACAATCAACTGAAAATATGCCAATAAATGATTTATTATTTTTCGTAATGAACGAGTAGGCGAGGCATTGTCGATTGAGGACATACAAACGATGTTCAGCACTGCATCGTGAAAGGCACTCGTAGATGTGCAAAAAACTCCGATATTGCGATATTGGACGGCTCGGGTGTGGCGTTCTAGTGAACGATGTGGATTGCTTGCATCACACGTTTGGCGAAAATTTACCGAATCAGTGTGCGACGTGGCCATATAAAACGGTTGCGAATTAAATTCAGTCGATGTTTTATAGTAGTGTGCGAAAATCGCCATGAACTGTGTGACTTTTGGGGCAAAAAGTGGCAATGCCGGCACAACTCGCGGTTCATGAACGAAAACTGCCAGGCGACGTGCACGCCCGAGTGCTACTGTCGAGCGCGCGCTGACTGGAAGGATCCTCTTGACTGCCGCAACCACCACGTTTACTGTTCCTTCTGGAAGCGGCAGAATTTCTGCGTCTTGCACAAGGACTACATGCTGTGGAAGTGCGGACAGTCGTGCGACATCAGGTGCCAGCCGAAGACAGAACCGGCGACGGTCGATTCCGTCCGTTCCAGCGCCTATGCAGGGCCAGTGAACATCGAGATGACCATTGAACACGCCGCACTGCCGGTCTCCAGCCAAACAGAACAGCTCTACGCTGAGGACTATTCGACCGACTACGACAAATCATTCTCTGCATCGGACTCGGCAAG